GTAATTAAAAAAGTTCTGAAAATGCAATCATGATGAGTGGGAATGGCAGGCATATGCAACAAGTTTTAAATCAGACCAGATTATCCAATAAAATTGTAAATCAATATCTTAGTTCTTTGTAGATGTGAAATGTGTAATTCCTGCAACTAAATTGCAAGCATGTAACGATTTAATAATTATAAAGTTGAATCAGATCAGACGTCCACCTGCTGCAGACTTTTTGGATTTAAAGCAAAAACACTGATGCCACTAAAATGTTTTTAACACTTTCTATGAACCAACCCTTGCAAAATTTCCCATGCTTAAATATAAATTAATGCTGAATACAAAATAAAAAAAACCATGAATTATCTTAATCTGTCTAATTTAAAAGATAAATATGAACTTACCTGCCGGGAAAAAACACTGCTGCTAAAGAATTGATTTATCATTTGCATGGCAAAACCATGTTATGATACAGCCTACAATTTCTGCAATAGCTCCTCATTATTGTCTCAATATGATTTTTCATGTAAAGAGTACAGAAAAAATAGTTTTCTCAGTGAGGGTCAATGCGACCTTGTCTTCAGGGTCACAGTATGTCTATTGCGCCCCTGAAAAATAAAATGGCATCTTGTCACTCCTACTTTGGAACTCACCATTAGCATGTTTATATTAGGGATGCTAGTGAAGTTTTGTATATTGGATTTTTACTTGTGAAATCATCACAGCTAGATAGAGATTAAAATAACAAATCCAATGGTCATCATCAGGTGCCTTGCCGACTGGCGTGGGCGATCTTGCCTCTCCACAATCTACGATCTCCTGCAGCATGTATCAGTTTGTGTGCTGACACACCTCCATGCCATGCAACAAAGCTGTCAAGAATCTTCTCTCGTTGTCTTCCTTTATCCTTCCTTCCACAGATCTTTCTAGTTGTCACAACATGTTCTATTTTCCCTCTTCTCATAACATGGCCGAAAAATGATGGCTGTCTCCATCTGATGTCTGTGATAAGTTGTCTTTGGGCTTCCGCCTCTTTCAAAACCTCTTGGTTGCTCTTTTTGGCTGTCCAAGGTGTTTTAAGCATTATTATGTAAATCCACATCTCTGAGCCCTCTAGAAATTACTTAGCCTGCCTTATGATTGTCCAGGACTCACAGACATATGTTGAAATCCAATGATACCTCAATGAAAAACTGCAAACTTAAAATAATGACAGATGCTAACAGTTGTAGATTAAAAAAATATGACTCATATGTAACTGTTGTATTTATGTATTTCAGTACACATTTTAACTTAATTACAGACTATACTCAGACATGGCGGCCATTATGATCGAAAGTCATAATCCAGATTTTGGGGTATCAGGTTTAAAAATATGAATTCTTAACCCTCTGGAGATGACACGGCTGAAATATCAGCTTTTAGAAAATATTTATCTTCAACATGAAAATTCATTCAGTAACGCATGTTGCAAATTAATTAAACTGTAGTTCAGTTTTTACATAAATCTACTCAATAACAAATTTTACCACCGACTTCTTCAAAGTCGGAGTGCATCTGCCTAAGAGGTAATGAACCAACCGTCTGTATTCAAATAAACCAGATCTGTAAAACGGATATGCATGCAAAACTCAATTTCTGGAACAAGGCCAAAGTCCGGAAGTCAACAAACAACCATAACTTTCGGCCAGAGTTTAGAGCCGGTGAATGCGATAAAGAAGAAATTATAGTATGCATTTAGTGAATAAAATATTAGCAGTACTATACTTCATGAAAGTATAAATATGAAGTGTTTTATCTTGTTGATGTGAATTTCTATAATTATCACTACCATAAACCAGTCTTAGATGAACATTATACTAGCACATACATGTTTATACTGTCTTAAGATTTAGTTATTTCATCTAAATGCGGATACAAATAAAATAAAATAATAAATTCTTGTGCATTCATGTTTTTTTTGAAGGCATCTCTCGCAGTTTTTCAACAACGGTGCCTGCAGCTCTGAAGTTTATCTACCCTAAGAACTATGACCGTAAGTAAATATTGTGACTGTCAGTATCTCTGGCCCAGTTATCATCTAGAGGAGTGGTCTCCAACCTTGGGGGACATGTTCCTCTAAGGGGGACATCAAGCAGTTTTGAAAGTGAGCATATCTGTACTTATAATAATCCACTATACTTATGATTTGTTTTAGTTTAATTATAAATAAAATATTTTTTTAAACTAACTTTTAAATAAATCCACAAGGACATTTTTGTTTATGAGCAGTGTCTACATCTTCTTCTTTTGTCACCTCACTGTTACCAGGTTGTAACCCAGTGTCGTGGTTTTGTCGTCTCACTGATACCAGGTTGTAACCCAGTGTAGTGGTTTTGTCGTCTCAGTTACCAGGTTGTAACCCAGTGTCGTGGTTTTCTGTATTTGTCTTGCTCTTCTCAGGTGGCTTGAGTGATGGATTTGTTAAACTTTTTGCAGGTTTCATCTACACCACTTATCCATCTCTTTCTTGATTTCCTCTAGCCTTTGTCCCAGATGTTCGACTGTAAAAAGTCTCATATGCAGTTTGGTCTGGCTGCATTCTCACTTGATAGCCCAACAATTTCATTCTTTGTCTGTCAGTATAATCCAGACATGGTCTTATTCCAACTTTCTCTCTAATCCTGGTATTTGTAACCCTGTCTTGTATAGTGTTGTTAGTAACCTTGCGGAAACAGCGCATTTCACATGTTTTCTTTTTGTTTGGTTCTAGTGCCCTATTCATTGTCCATGTTTGGCACTGATAACATTAAGTAGGGATAAAGATGCTATTAATCATTTGCTGTTTTGCTGGAAATGAGTCATTTGGGTGTCTAAGCAGTGGGGCTAACTAGCAGGTGACAGCATTTGCCGCCTTCTGTACTCTGATCTCTCTTTCGAGTCTGCCTTCCTCCGTAAATATGCTTCCTAGATGTTTGAATTCTCATGCTTGTTTGATTATAGTACCATTAACATGAATGTTTACGATATTATGTTTTCTGCCTGTCCTCATTACCTCAGTTTTTGCGGTGTTTATTCTCATATCATACTTTGTGCAAACTTGATGTAAGGAGTCGATTTGGTGTTGTACATTCTGTTTTTGATGGTGTATTAGACACTGATCATCTGCAAAAAAAAATTCATTGATTTCTGCAGAGTCTGTATTTGCCTCCTGTGATACTTTATCCATGTAAGTAATGAGTAGCAAAGGTCAGAGGACACATCCCTGTCTGACACCTGATGAGATGGGAAACCAGTCTGTCATACCTTGTTTTGTTCTTACTGTGTGCTGACTATCTTGGTAAAGAGCCATGATGTTACCCAACAGTTGATCTTGAATACCATAATCTTCTAGAATTTTCCAAAGTTTGCACCTGTTGACTAGTCTAAATTCCTTCTCTTGAACTATAAGATTTTGACTTCTATTGTTTTCATTAGACTGCTTGCAAATCTGCCTTCTTGAAACTGAACTGACTCTTACTTAATTGGAGCTCTAGAACTGGTCATGCCCTAAGTTCCAACATCTTTCCAGTATGGCTCAGGATTGAGATGCCCCTGTATGTTTTGCAGTCCCTTTTGTCCCAATTACCATAAAAAATCCAACTAAATGATAACACATGTATTTAATTATAGAGTAAGAACACATTCTGATCAAAACATAACTCCATACTTTCTGTTTCCCCTGTTGCAGAATCTGTTATACTTCACTTTTTAATCACATTTTGTTATGCTGGGGGGTAGCTTGCTATATACTCAAGGGGGAGGGGGGGGGGGTCTTGCCATATACTCCAGGGTGGTACAACTGGAAAACAGTGTGGTACAACCGGAAAACAGGTTGGAGACCACTGATCTAGAATATGATATCCTGTGTAATCCACATAACACTTCCAGGAAACCTACAGAAGATTATTCATGTCCAGTGCAGAAACTGACCATTTATCTAATTGAGTGAAAACATGAGGAGTGTCATCAAAAGACACCATTAGATTTTAAAATATTGACTGCATACAACATTAAGTTTTTGCAATTGTATTGAATGAAAATATAGATTTTCTATGAATTATCAAAGAGTCAGCTAGAGAAACTGGAGAATGAGTAGCTACAGACAGTAAACACCCTCTGTATGAAGCTTTAGCTGCAGGTAAGGGTCAGCGGTGTGCAGAGAGTGGCCAGCGGGTGCTCTACGCAGCAACCGGGTGACGAATTCCTTGTGGTCCGGGTTCACGCCTGGGGGTAGGCAGAAAAGCCACATTTCTCCCAGATTTACGGTATCTATCATGGAATCAAGGCCGAAGGCTTGCGATATCCATAGTACAGAGCCAAAGGGTTAACGACTCATGGTTTCTGTAAACTTTAAAAAAAATTGATTTATGATTATGAAGTGAGCCCAATGCTTCTATTACGTACTATATAAAATTGTAGACTAATTTTGTAAAGATAATATTTTCTCTGGTATCTGGTAAACTGAGAGAAATTATTTCTCTCTTTTAAGTGCATTTTAAATAAAAATTAAAAAATATTTTTATTTTTTCATTTACTAAGTAAAGTAAAGATCCCTTTTCATGCCTGTAGGCATATGGGAAGAGCACTCATATTTTTACAGACCAATCAGCACTAGGTGGGTAATGCTGTCAGCATTACAGGGGTCGTCTTTACTTCCCATTTTAGGCTGGGTTGACCTTCAACACTCCATACCATGATAAAAATCCATGCAGCCAGGAGTGGATTTCGATCTCGGTACGTTGGAATCACGAGTTGGACTTGCAACGCCTAAGCCACAGTCGTCGCATTTTTCATTTACTAATGTTGTATTATTCTAAAATGTTTTTCTTTACGCGCTGCTGTTTCAAATTAGTCAAACCCTAATGTCCTTGTATTGATAACACCTATCTGTTTAGCTGACTGTGTTATTCACAGACGTTCAGTATCCTGAGAGACGTAGACTGAAAATAATTGAAAAAGTTCCACACCTGGAACCTGGCATACGACCACCAAAAATGATGAAAGATGTTCACCAAATGAGAGGTCCTGAACTAATTCAGAACAAATTACAGTATGGAGACTATGGTATTCAGGTACTTAATGGTTGCTGCATATATGTTTTTGTTTTATTCTTTCTGCACCCTACCAGGCATGTCGTTAGAGGAGACTAAGGGTTGGGTTTGGGAGTTGGCTACCTCATCCTGTAAAAAAATAACAAAAACAGCCACAAAAACCAACTAGCCATCATCATCATCAAGTACCTTACCAGCTGGCATAGGTGTTCATGTATCTCCACTGATCTCGTTCTTTGGTGTTCTGGATTAGTTCCCCTGAGGATATTTGTCCCTGTCTTAAGCCATCCACCGTCATTTCTCTTGGTCAGCCTCTGTCACTTCTACCAGTGATCTTTAAAGTTGTCACAGTATTGTCCAGTGCTCATTTTCTCATCACATGACCAAACAACTTTGTCTCCTTCTCATTGTTGTGTATAACGTTCTACTTTCACCAGCCATTTCCAGGCAATCGTTATTAGTTATTCTGGCAGTCCAAAGTATTCGCAACATTCTTTTTAAGAACCACATCTCAGTTGCCTCCAAACTTTTCTTAATTTGTTTGCTGACATTCCAAGATTCACTGCCATACAACAGAACCGACTCCTTTCTAAACATTTCAGTACTTTTTTTTTCTTATATTAAATGAGAGTAATTTATTACATAAGGTACTTTTCATCTTCTGAAATGCTGTCTTTGCCTGGCCAATTCTGCTTCTAATTTCTGTTGCACATCGTCCATCTGATGTTATGGATGTCCACAAATACTTGAATTTATTGACTTTGTTTAGCACTTTTTCTTCTATTGCTGTTTCACATTTTGGAGTTGTCTTCTTTGATCTGTCGGTTATAGATTAAGGAACAAAAATCAAAGTAACATCAACGAATTACTCTTTGCTGATGACCAGGCCTTGATAGCAAATACAGCCATGAATTTGCAGCAGCATCTCACGTCCATTAATGAAGAATGTAAATCAAATAATATGAGAATCAACGTCAAAAAGACAGTAGTAATTTCCACAGGAAGAAAGAAGCAGGATTTGAACATAGCATTAGAGCATATATATATATATTAAAAGAGACATCTGAGTTTAAAAACTTCAATACAAAATTCAATGAAGATGCTAAATTGGATGAAGAATAAGACAAGAGTCTGTCCATTTCTTAACCATAATAATAGCTTCCCGCGTTTTTGTTTTAGTTGGACCTTGATTGTTAAACATGGACTTGGAGTAATGAATGAAAATGGAGAACTATTCAACAGTTTTTGTGCTAGGAAACTGAACTCATCATCATCATCATGTAGCAGGTGCTTTGCAGAACGTCGCTGTCATCACAGTCTGCCTGAAAGAAACTCGGTCTCTCACCAGTTCTCCCACCTCATGCACTTTCACACTCAAGGTGTCACTTTTATCCTGTGCTCATCTTTGTGTCGGTCGGCCCTTGCCCCTCCTTCCTGGTACCATGCCTTCTGCTATAATTTGTTCCAATCCGTTGTGGCGCTTGATATGACCAAAATATTTCAGCTTTCGAGAAAGGATGCTGTTTATTATCTTTCTTGATGTTCAGATCTTTTAAGATGTCAATATTTCTCATCTTCTTTGTCCAAGATATTTTTAGAATCTTTCTATAGCATTTCAGCTCAAAAGCTCCTATTCTCTTTCTTAAGGACTAGGAAAATGAACTAGAGACTGTAAAAACACTGACTCTCTTAAAAGAAGTAGCTCACAAAATGGGACTAGTTATCAGTCAGGATAAGAAAGAATAAATGATAATAACAAGACAAGGAAAAGATATAAACTCTGGCCACAGACAAGTTGATAATATGAAAATTAAATGAATAGAAACATAAAAGTATTTCGATGCAAACTTTAACTGCTCTAACATGCTGAGAGAAGAAATACAATCTAGAATACAATCTGGAAATAAAGTATACTATGCCCTTAACATCTGCTAAAGTCAAAATCTCTGTCTCGCAACACCAAGATCAAAACATATAAAACCTTGATAAGATCAATCGTTTTATATGGCTCTGGAACCTGGAGCACAACTAAAAGAGATAAAGCCTCATTAAAAACTTTCAAAAACACAAAAACAGAGTCTTATGAGGAGTCTATGGACCCATTAAAGATGCAAACAACGGGCAATGGAGAGTGAGAAGCAACAGTGAAATTCATAATCTGTTTAAATCACCATTGATTACTGGCATAATAAGCTCTTATAGACTGAAATGGTTGGGGCATATTGAGAGAATTTCAAATGCCAGAGGTAAATACTGTATACACAAGGAAGCTGAATGGTCGTAGACCATGAGGACGATGGAGAGATAACATCCAGACTGACCTGCAAACACTTGGTGTCACCAACTGGAAAGAGATGGCCAACCTTAGAGATAAATAGAGGTGGGTGATATCTGCAGCAATGAACCTCAAAGGCTCGGAACACCGAAGAAAAAATAGGAAGATGTTTTAATTTTGAAATCATTTCTTGTGGTGTGACTTTTTCAGCCTGGTCTTTTTCAATTTGAGAGCACTGTTGAATCTTTTATGTTCACAACACATGCACATGTTCTGTGAGAAGGCTAGATTCCTGATCTGCTACCTCAGGATAATTGGGCATTGTACCCCACTTGTCACATTTTGATTTAATCCAAGTAGTCCACACTGTGAATTAAAACAGGTCTGCAGTAGCAGAGGCCATATTTAGTAGTCACTGAGCTACCCCAGTATAGTCTGACTTGTCTCAGTAAAGTCATTTATATCAAGGTTTACAACAAACTGTTAAAAATGTCAATGTAGACACAAATCATTTATAATGTTTCATATAGATGTGAGATTCTGGATATAAAAGCACATGGCAAAGTTATGATCTGCTCTTTCTGGTTCAGCCGCACATAGGGGTTAATGTTTTGGTTGTTGTTGTCCATTATCAGCTTTTTTTTCTTTTGCATAGTGATTTGCATTTTTTGTTTAAATTTTATTTTTGCATGCACAGAATTTTAAAAGAAAACTGACTGTAGTTTTCTTGAAACTATTGCTTTTCTATTTTTGTATGTTTAGTTATAGAGTATTTATTATTGCATTAAAAAAAAAAAAACTAACTGTGATGTGCATACATACTTGAATACACTTATGGCACTTTCTACAGGCTGTGACTGGTGGCAGGATTAATCACAAGGTCAGTGAGGCAGTTCGAACGATTGTCATTAAACAGATGGATGAAAAGAACATGTTTGCTGTTTGGCGGTTCTCTCACCTTTGGCAGTCAGTCACAAAAAAGGGACAGGGTCAACGAATGGGTGGAGGAAAAGGTTCCATTGATCATTATGTGTTTCCATTTCGAGCAGAAAGAATAATTTTGGAAATGGGAGGTCATTGTGAATTTGTAGAAGTCTACCCTGTTTTGAAAGCGGTAAGCATTTTGTTTGTAGTTTGTTGTAGAGTTGAAACATATTTGTTATCCATTGTATGACTAAATGCACCAAAGAGGAGCAGTGCTCTATTCTCCCTTGTTTGTGATCAGTGAAGGGGAATTGTCTATAGACATTTGTTTGTGATCAGTGAAGGGAAATTGTCTATAGACATTTGTTTGTGATCAGTGAAGGGGAATTGTCTATAGACATTTGTTCGTGAATGAAGATCCAGTAGGGTGATGCATGACTGTCAGTCCAGCAAAGTGTATGAGTGCAGTTTCAAAACAGCTGCCATTGACTCTGTGGTCACTATTTGGTGTCCCTGACCCAGTCTTGAACAGTCTGTCACAGAAGTCATGCTCTTTTGAACTGCATTCTGCATCTCCTTGATACAGCCTTCTTCTAGTCACTTCTTGATGTTACCATTTACAAGTAACACCAGTTCTTGATGTTACCACTTACAAGTAACACCAGTTCTTGATGTTACCACTTACAAGTAACACCAGTTCTTGATGTTATCACTTACAAGTAACACCAGTTCTTGATGTTATCACTTACAAGTAACACCAGTTCTTGATGTTATCACTTACAAGTAACACCAGTTCTTGATGTTATCACTTACAAGTAACACCAGTTCTTGATGTTATCACTTACAAGTAACACTAGTTCTTGATGTTATCACTTACAAGTAACACCAGTTCTTGATGTTATCACTTACAAGTAACACCAGTTCTTGATGTTATCACTTACAAGTAAAACCAGTTCTTGATGTTATCACGTACAAGTAACACCAGTTCTTGATTCTATTTCAGAACAAAATACCCTTAAAAAAAGTCAACAACCATTTGGCCAAATTGTTTAGAATCTTGCATAGGCACATGTAATTCTAATGTCACAGTGGGCATATTTTTTTTTGTTGCCGTGACATCAGATTACTGATTTTGCTTTTCGGTGGCATAAAAAAAAAGAGATAGTTTCTCAGATCCTTTTTATAGTTTTACAGTAGCTCAGTGGGAATTATTTGCTGTACAAGTTTGTTTACATTTGCATGTGTTTTTGCGGACTGATTTGCACAGGATCATCCAGAGCGAACAAGACAGGGGAGAAAATGTCATTGTTAAAATTCTGTACATGTTTCAGAGGCTTGTATTACTGTACATGTTTCGGAGGCTTGTATTGCTGTACATGTTTCAGAGGCTTGTATTACTGTACATGTTTCAGAGGCTTGTATTACTGTACATGTTTCGGAGGCTTGTATTACTGTACATGTTTCGGAGGCTTGTATTACTGTACATGTTTCAGAGGCTTGTATTACTGTACATGTTTCGGAGGCTTGTATTACTGTACATGTTTCAGAGGCTTGTATTGCTGTACATGTTTCGGAGGCTTGTATTACTGTACATGTTTCAGAGGCTTGTATTACTGTACATGTTTCAGAGGCTTGTATTACTGTACATGTTTCGGAGGCTTGTATTACTGTACATGTTTCGGAGGCTTGTATTACTGTACATGTTTCAGAGGCTTGTATTACTGTACATGTTTCGGAGGCTTGTATTGCTGTACATGTTTCGGAGGCTTGTATTACTGTACATGTTTCAGAGGCTTGTATTACTGTACATGTTTCAGAGGCTTGTATTACTGTACATGTTTCGGAGGCTTGTATTGCTGTACATGTTTCGGAGGCTTGTATTACTGTACATGTTTCAGAGGCTTGTATTACTGTACATGTTTCGGAGGCTTGTATTACTGTACATGTTTCGGAGGCTTGTATTGCTGTACATGTTTCGGAGGCTTGTATTACTGTACATGTTTCGGAGGCTTGTATTACTGTACATGTTTCGGAGGCTTGTATTACTGTACATGTTTCGGAGGCTTGTATTACTGTACATGTTTCAGAGGCTTGTATTGCTGTACATGTTTCGGAGGCTTGTATTACTGTACATGTTTCGGAGGCTTGTATTGCTGTACATGTTTCGGAGGCTTGTATTACTGTACATGTTTCGGAGGCTTGTATTGCTGTACATGTTTCGGAGGCTTGTATTACTGTACATGTTTCGGAGGCTTGTATTACTGTACATGTTTCGGAGGCTTGTATTACTGTACATGTTTCGGAGGCTTGTATTACTGTACATGTTTCGGAGGCTTGTATTACTGTACATGTTTCGGAGGCTTGTATTGCTGTACATGTTTCGGAGGCTTGTATTACTGTACATGTTTCGGAGGCTTGTATTGCTGTACATGTTTCGGAGGCTTGTATTACTGTACATGTTTTCGGAGGCTTGTATTGCTGTACATGTTTCGGAGGCTTGTATTACTGTACATGTTTCGGAGGCTTGTATTACTGTACATGTTTCGGAGGCTTGTATTACTGTACATGTTTCGGAGGCTTGTATTGCTGTACATGTTTCGGAGGCTTGTATTACTGTACATGTTTCGGAGGCTTGTATTGCTGTACATGTTTCGGAGGCTTGTATTACTGTACATGTTTCGGAGGCTTGTATTACTGTACATGTTTCGGAGGCTTGTATTACTGTACATGTTTCGGAGGCTTGTATTACTGTACATGTTTCGGAGGCTTGTATTACTGTACATGTTTCGGAGGCTTGTATTGCTGTACATGTTTCGGAGGCTTGTATTGCTGTACATGTTTCGGAGGCTTGTATTACTGTACATGTTTCGGAGGCTTGTATTACTGTACATGTTTCGGAGGCTTGTATTACTGTACATGTTTCGGAGGCTTGTATTGCTGTACATGTTTCGGAGGCTTGTATTGCTGTACATGTTTCGGAGGCTTGTATTACTGTACATGTTTCGGAGGCTTGTATTACTGTACATGTTTCGGAGGCTTGTATTGCTGTACAGTGGACTAAAAGTGACATTTGCCATGTTCTGAAGCATCTCTTTGAAGATGTACCAATATTTTTGTCCCGAAGCTAATCGTGGAAGCCAATAACGATAATATTTATATGCTTCAGGGGTAAAGAGACATTAGTTATATCTTATCGGAAGTAGTCTTATATCTGAAAGATAAAATGTTGGAACATTTGCATAATAACTGATGTAAAGATATTCACAACTGAAGATATGCATATGACCGGTCAAAAACAAATTTTTTAGGTAAAGTAATTTGTCTTGTGTTTGAGGGGAGGGGGGGGGGGGGGGTACATAGGATGTAGTGTTAACAAGAACAAAGAAATCTAAAGAAAAATGCTTTTCTGGTTTAATTTTAAATTATAAAGTGACAATAACATTCAAAGTATTTGGTCATTTGGAAAAATTCAACATGTTGCATGCCATGGTTTTGGAGATAATAGAAGAGTTTTGAGGCATATGCTTTGATGCTTCTTCTTCTTAAAGTCCATGCCGTGTTGCATTGGTAGTCATGTCTATAAACAACCTTCTGTCTGGTTCACTTTTAATCAACTCTGACACAGATGATCTTCCATGCCATGATGTCAAACTGTCCAGCATCTGTTCTCTCAGTCTCCCTCTCCTCCCCTCCAACTTTCCTACTGTCACGATGTATTTTATAATTATTCAAAATTATTTGAATTTTTATTATTTCCCAAATTATTAGAATTTTGGAAACCTTAAATATTGATGGTAAAGATTTGAGAATAATAGAAAACATATACTGTCACCAAGAAGAGCCATAATGATTGACAGCCAAGTTGGAACTTTCCAAAACATTAAACAAGACGTTACACAGGGATCTGTACTGATTTTTTCAGTTTGTACAGTGAAGGAAAAATTAGATCTAAATAATGCGGATACAAACAATACATTGCACAATTTATTGCCAGGCATATTTCGCTGTATCTCATCAGGTGCGTTACTACAGAGTTACATCAACATAAAATGAAACACAAAACTGAAAAATTCAACTGAAATGCGAATAGTTTCTTCCAATAACAAACAATGAAACCTATGGGTACCCCATAGGTTTCATCAAACGTCATTGCACACCACCCATCCCTACCCCGAATGAAATTACAGTATCCAAACTACGAGTATAAATCCAACTTACTTATTGAGGCAATGACGTCATGCAGCGTCTGCAGGACCGACTGAAAACAGCAGTTGGCCAAACATTCTTTGCGGCTGTTTCAGTAGTGAGGTACAAGACCACTCCTATCCCAACCCCACCTATTTAACAGCTCATTTCTCCGTACACCAAATCTAATTGTATTTACCAATTTACATGTTAAGTGCCAGTTGACTTACATCGGTCGAACGGAGAGACAGCTTAGAAATAGAGTGTCAGTGCACATACCCAAATGGCTACATACACAGCTCAGTGATTCTTCTAGGGTGTTGAGACTAGTCAAGAGGAAAGAACCCGCTTCTTCCATAGGACGTCATCTACTTAATTCTGGACACATAATTGACACAGACACTGCTTTCCGTGTGGGTTACCACACTCCGAACAGGAGACTTTTGAGAATAGCCGAAGCTTTAACAATACAAATCAACAACCCCCTCCTTTGTAAGCAGACGGAATTTATCGTAAATTTGAAGTTACCCTGGTAAGTCACGTGACTATGGTGAGCTTCAGGCAGCCATGAAACACACACAATGAATCGGAAGAAACTATTTGCATTTCAGTTGAATTTATTCAGTTTTGTGCTTTATTTTATGTTGATGTAACTCTAGTAACGCACCTGATGAGATACAGCTAAATATGCCTGGCAATAAATTGTGCAATGTATTGTTTGTATCCGCATTATTTCAATTCATTACGGGAAAACATTGTTTAAAAAAATTAGATCTATACATGGTATGTCAGGAATAGCAGTTGGTGGGCATATTGTTAACAACCTGCTATATGCAGGTTTTGATCGCTAAAAATGAAACACAGCTGCAAGAAGAAATAGATATAATTGTAACAGAAAGTGGAAACAAGGCTCTTAGTTTGAACAGCAGAAAAAAACAAACATAGTGGTAATTACAAAGGAAATTGACCCTCCAAAATGCGACACTAAATGGGACAAACCTCAAGCAAGTTATGTTACAGTACGTGGGTACCCTAATAACATCAGATGGAAGATGTATTAAGGAAGTTAAATGTCGAATTGCTCAAGTAAACGCAGCATTTTACAAAATGAATATTTTCTTGTCAGTTGAGACGAGAAAGAGAATTCTTAAAAGTTATATAAATCCTATATTGATATACTGATGCGAATCATGGACAGTTAGTAAATTAGTGAAAACTTATTTGGAAGCTTCAGAGTTGTGGTTTTCTAGACGAATGTTGAGAATACCCTGGACAGAAAAAGGGTATTAAAGACGTCTTGAAAGAAACTGACTCACGAAGAGAACTGGTTTCCCCACATCAGATTTGGTACAGACTATAGTATTTCACAACTGGGTGAAGAATGTCTACAAATTGATATTTGTTAACATGTTTCTGGATGACTTGTTTAATATGGTTAATGTTTTCAAAATTTGCCTCTGCATTTTCTGGTGTCATTTACAAAAAAAATCAATGTTCTTGTCTTAATTATAACGAGTTAACACAGTTTTAACAATTAAATCCATGGACTTGATAGTTTGTGGATTTTTATCGTGGTATGGGGCGTCGCAGGTCGACCCAGCCTAAAATGGGTACCATGATGTATGTCCTGGGGAAGTTAAGATGGCCGGCGTAATTCTAACCACATTACCCAACTAGTGTTGATTGGTCTGTAAAAATATTGATGCTCTTCTCATATGCCCGATGTGCCTGAAGGCGTGAAAAGGGATCTATACTATATATAGTATATATACACACACTTTATAATTGAAGTGAGACCTTATGTCATGTCACATGATGGTGCTCTGCTGTACATTTCACAGATTCAAAAAGAACTGCCATTCCTGTCCAGGATCGTGACACATGAGAAAATGGCGCAGAGGGAGGAGCAGGAAAAGTTCACAGAAGAAAACAATCTGAATATTTTCACGTTCAAGTTTTGTGCACAAAATAACATACTGGGCTGCCAAAAGTTTCTTAACAGATATGATAATATGTGGTATGGAAAATATAGATAAGTAATAACACAAAATTTCGGCATCAGCAGCCGTGACAGTAGAAGGACAGGATTATGTTGGGAAGCGTGATATCAGTGTGAGTGTTTCCATCCAGTGAGTAATGACCGGATGTGAACTAGGTGAAGAAATTGCATTTGTGTTATGAATAATGTATTTTTAGGGAAAGGTGGCTTTAAAAAAATTAAAAATCTCTTGCTTCAAAGACTTCATCATGCATTGTACTGCAAATGCAGAAATAGTTTGCAAACTGCATCTGTGACTTGACTGGGGTGAAACATGTTCATTCTAACAGATTCAATTAAAAAAATATGGATCCATTAATTGTTTCTTAATGCTTTTATAGTTTCAGAAATGTTGATTATTGACACTATTTAGCTTTGTCTATAATTGTTTGCATTTGCCCTTGTCAGTCAGGTGCCTTCTCCACAGTGAAGGTTGACTGCAGTACATTTCCAGCACTATCTCTTGTCTTGGTAGTACACTCTCTCATGCTGCTTTTGTCCATCTCTCGGTCCATTTCCAGCACTATCTCTCGTCTTGGTAGTACACTCTCTCATGCTGCTTTTGTCCATCTCTCAGTACATTTCCAGCACTATCTCTCGTCTTGGTAGTACACTCTCTCATGCTGCTTTTGTCCATCTCTCAGTACATTTCCAGCACTATCTCTCATCTTGGTAGTACACTCTCTCACGCTGCTTTTGTCTATCTCTCAGTACATTTCCAGCACTATCTCTCGTCTTGGTAGTACACTCTCTCATGCTGCTTTTGTCCATCTCTCAGTACATTTCCAGCACTATCTCTGGTCTTGGTAGTACACTCTCTCATGCTGCTTTTGTCCATCTCTCAGTACATGTCCAGCACTATCTCTTGTCTTGGTAGTACACTCTCTCATGCTGCTTTTGTCCATCTCTCAGTACATTTCCAGCACTATCTCTGGTCTTGGTAGTACACTCTCTCATGCTGCTTTTGTCCATCTCAGTACATTTCCAGCACTATCTCTGGTCTTGGTAGTACACTCTCTCATGCTGCTTTTGTCTATCTCTCAGTACATTTCCAGCACTATCTCTGGTCTTGGTAGTACACTCTCTCAAGCTGCTTTTGTCTATCTCTCAGTACATTTCCAGCACTATCTCTCATCTTGGTAGTACACTCTCACGCTGCTTTTGTCTATCTCTCAGTACATTTCCAGCACTATCTCTCGTCTTGGTAGTACACTCTCTCATGCTGCTTTTGTCCATCTCTCAGTACATTTCCAGCACTATCTCTCGTCTTGGTAGTACACTCTCTTGCTGCTTTTGTCCATCTCTCAGTACATTTCCAGCACTATCTCTCGTCTTGGTAGTACACTCTCTCATGCTGATTTTGTCCATCTCTCAGTACATTTCCAGCACTATCTCTCGTCTTGGTTGTACACTCTCTCATGCTGCTTTTGTCCATCTCTCAGTACATTTCCAGCACTATCTCTCGTCTTGGTAGTACACTCTCTCATGCTGCTTTTGTCCATCTTTTAGTACATTTCCAGCACTATCTCTGGTCTTGGTAGTAGACTCTCTCACACTTCTTATGTCCATCTCTCAGTATTTCCAGCACTATCTCTCGTCTTGGGAGTACACTCTCTCACACTGCTTATGTCCATCTCTCAGTATATTTCCAGCACTATCTCTCGTCTTGGGAGTACACTCTCTCACACTGCTTATGTCCATCTCTCAGTACATTTCCAGCACTATCTCTCGTCTTGGTAGTACACTCTCTCATGCTGCTTTTGTCCATCTCTCAGTACATTTCCAGCACTATCTCTGGTCTTGGTAGTACACTCTCTCATCCTGTTTTTGTCCATCTCTCGGTCCATTTCCAGCACTATCTCTCGTCTTGGTAGTACACTCTCTCATGCTGCTTTTGTCCATCTCTCAGTACATTTCCAGCACTATCTCTCATCTTGGTAGTACACTCTCTCATGCTGCTTTTGTCCATCTCTCAGTACATTTCCAGCACTGTCTCTCATCTTGGTAGTACACTCTCTCATGCTGCTTTTGTCCATCTCTCAGTACATTTCCAGCACTATCTCTCATCTTGGTAGTACACTCTCTCATGCTGCTTTTGTCTATCTCTCAGTACATTTCCAGCATTGTCTCTTGTTTTGGTAGTACACTCTCTCATGCTGCTTTTGTCCATCTCTAGATGATGACTTCCAACTTGTATCCTACCTCTTGCTCTTGTATGTTTTTTTAAAAGTCTTTTAATGTGGCTGAAATGTTTCAGTAGTCTCTTTTCTATTTCTTGGTGTAACTCATTTCATTCTCCAAGAATGTTGACCTTGCCTCGATCACTAAAGATCAGATTTGTTATATCCAAAGTAGATTGAACAGATATGGTGGCAAACTTGGCTTGCATACAAGCATAGACTGCATGGGTTCCCATTTGGGGGTGGGTGAGAGAACAGGCTTACTGCACAAGCATCTTGTAAATGGCGACTAATTAACAGGGTGCAATCTGTCTGTGAATATGAGGTGAGAGACGAACAATCTGCATGCAATAAGCCAAATCTGTATTTGAAAAAAAAAAAAACAACAAAAAATGCATACAAAACTCAAGTCCTGGAATAATATTAAAGTCCAGAAGTAGAAACAGCCATCCGCTGGAGTTTACAGCCGATCAATGCACAGAAAAAGAAAAGAGAATCATCCAGTATTATTCTGTTTTGATCTTTCCAAATGATTATGTCTTTATCTGCTTCTCTAGCAAACACTGATTTCTCTGATTGTTTTCCTTGCTTCTCTAGCAAACACTGATTTCTCTGATTGTTTTCCTTGCTTCTCTAGCAAACACTGATTTCTCTGTTTTTCTTGCTTCTCTAGCAAACACTGATTTCTCTGTTAAGATTTTGATGAGTCATTACTTACACCTATTCGTATGTATGGTGACAGAATGCACCCTTGCCTCATTTCTTTTGCACCTTGAACCAGTCTGATGTTTTTTCAGCTGCTCTGACGGCTGCTTGTTGTTAGTAAAACTTTCAATTAAATATACCACATCTGTTGGAAACTCCATGTATTTGATACTCCACAATTTCTGATGTTGGACACAAAGGGGAGACAGACCTTGCTATAATCAATAAAACAAGCATGGATATCTACATTTTTGGAACATTATTCTCATATTAAAGTTCCTCTGCCCTGTCTAAAACATGTCTGTGCTTTCATTTAGCTCACATTGTCATTTCTTTCCAAGCTTCTTCATGATAATTCATTAAGAGAGCTGTGCTATCATGACATTAAGTGCGATGGTACCTTCATTGGGGGAGACTATGAATTTCATTGTTGCTTCTCACTCTCTATTCCCCGCTGTTTGCATCTTTGATGGGTCCAAAGATTCGTCATAAGACTGTTTTAGAAAATGTGTGTTGAAGCTTCATCTCTTTCAGCTGCGCTCCAATTTTCAGAACCACATAAAACAACTGGTCTTATCAATGTTTCATATATTTTGATCTTGGTGTTGCAAGACAGAGACTTTGACTTTAGCAGAGTGAAGGGCATAGTTTGCTTTACTTCCAGATAAGACCTAGAATAAAAATTCGAGATTATGTTTTTTTCTCTCAGCATTTTTACCAACAGTCCACAACCAGAATTTTAGTTCAATGTTGATGGAAGCAGCAGCTGAAATAAATGCATGGCAAACGCTGGTGATTGCTGAAGAAGCGGAAACAGATCAAATCCTGAATAAACTAGGAACGTAAAGGATCTCAAAGATTCCACAAATATAAAACTGCATCAAATTCTGATGCAACCACTGCTGGAGGAAAATGTGTCAGGGAAAGATTACCATGGGAAGATGACATGGAGCCCTGATTGGATTTGAGATGTTACTGAGGACTGCCATGAAGGCTGCAGATACACTTGCTGACAGTTGATGTGAAAACAAAAACTGGTCCAGTCTTGGTAATTCATACTCTCTGCAAGACACTATCACATTTTGCTGGGAAGAAACTGACTTAACACAAAACAATATTACACATGAGGCTGGGATACAAGTCAACATACAGTGACAATTTATTGAGTACAAGCAGAAAATGACATGTTTCAGATTTAAGCTATAGTTATCACTACATTGTTATCTGTGATAATACTCTTATATATTAACAGTCCAACCAGCTTGATTAGGTTGCAATATTGAATCAACCTTCTCCTGATCAATAAAATATACAATCAATGAAAGAATTCACATTTCACAAGTCCTATTAATCAATGGTTTGTTCACAACAGGAAACAAAGAAAATGTGGCAATCACATTACTGACACCAATACAGATAAACATATAGAAAAGTAACAACACCAACTGGTAAAATGCAAACAAAACAAAAACCAAATGTAAGTTTTACAATAAATATGCATTGTACAATTAAAATACGCAAAATTAAGCAATTAGTAACCGCTTCAGTGTAACAAATGTAAAAATGCTATCTAAACAAGAGCTCATCTTGTGGTTGAAGACAGCTTAGTAGTCTCAGTGGCCAGTATTCTAGAAGCTGCTCAGTCTTAAATTTTCTTTTACAGCCAATAATCTCGTGATGTTGAAAAAATAATACAGTATCATACAATCATCAAATAAGAAGGTATTATCAATATACAGTGATGAAATAATCACTGTTACATGCAGTTGGAAAACGAGGTATAATGTTACATCTTTTTAAATGGTGCCAAAGTTACAGTACAAACTGAATGAATCAAAGAGCAAATAATGCCATGAGAATGAATATTAATAGCACAACACAAAAACATATGTAAAAAATGCCCAAAATATCACCAAATTATAATAGTAGCTAAATTTCTTTCTATTGATCAGCACACCGATCAGACATTCAGCAGTGACAGTATTTTATCATCTTTATGTACTATATTTCTGTATTACCTTCATATAGCATTAAATGGCACAGTGATCACCATCTAACACCAGACTTCACATCTAGGGTCAGGTCTGCATTCTCACCATCATTCACACTGAAG